AAACAGGAAACTGACTCTGCAAATCTGTGTTATGTGTGGGGAGAAGTGGGGGGAGGGAAGCTCCTTCGAGAGCCTGAGGCTACCGGTTTTCATAGGCGCTTGCTGCCATCCCCGCCTCTTGTCCATCCTGGCATTCTGTGCAGCCTCTGAGCGGAGTGCGCATTGTCTGCATTGGGATGAAGAACCAAGTGGGTGTTACAGCCTTACTGGCTGGAGTCAGAATTTCTCAGTAGAAAACAGTTGCTGGATGTGGATGCAGTGGTGCTTAGGAGTTCAAAGCCTATCTGTTACATCAGCAGGTCAGTTGGCCTTCAAGGGGAGGCATAGAAATTGTTAGAGCACTAAATCCTTACATGTGGACTCCCCTCTGAAGCTTAAATAGAGCCACCCGTCATTTAGCAGGTGAAATGTACAGTTAATTCCTTTAGCAGCTTCTCTTCTCACTGGCCAACTTGGACTGTAGCTCACAATGCAAATGAACAGCCGACATGTCCCAACAAAGACAGCTGTGAAGCCCCTGGAGTCCAGATGGCTGGGCTTCCTACAGTACAACTCCTGTTCATGCTTTGCAGTACACAGTGCTTCTTTGCAGGTGTAGTACCCCTCTCCTGCTCATGTCCTATGAAAAGGAAGTTGAGGAAACTTACCGGTGACTGGTAATTCAATAAGCAAAAGGCTGTTTGGGAAAGTGTGGAGCAGACCCATGCTGCTGGGGAGGACCATCTCAATCTCAGTTTAAATAACAGCAGAAAGAAGGGAAGGAGAATAGAAAATATGTGTGTTCTTGTTCGGTGAGTCGATAAAGCATTGTGCTTCTACAGTGGATTAATCTGTACAGCAAGTACCTTCGGGAACACTGTTCAAGCAGAGAACTGGATTCCATAGCCATGGGAAAAAGTAAAAGGCCACAGCTGAGAGAGGTGAAACAGGACAATTGAGACCTGCTAGGCATGTGCCTGTGCCCCAGCGTGCTGGCATGGCATCTAGGGAATTAATCTTGTTGGTACCAAAAATGTGAGCTATAAAATTCCTCAAGGTGTTCTCTGTGGGTTGTTCAGCAGTTCCTCCAACTACTCCTGTTAGATGTTCCCTTTCCAAATCAGAAAAGGTGCCTGAAGGTCAAGTAGGCTTCCTTCCCTGCAGGGTGTGCACAAAGGTACTGTAGGAGCTAACCTGGAGAAATCCATTTCAAGTAATCATCCCAAAGAGGGCAGTTAAAGACAGAATGCCTTGAGAAGGTCCAATTATACGTAAATTTTAGCTACTTTAAGACGATAGCTCTGCCTGGGGCCCTTTTCAAAACAGAATTCAGAGAAGGGTAAACCATGGAGAAGAGCTGTCTTAATGCAAACTGCAACAGAAGTTGCTGAAGTAGTTTCCTTAGTGCATGCTGCAGATTGCAAACCTGTTTACAAGGCTTTGTTTTGTACTTTAGGATTGGAACCTGTCAATTGATGCTTTTGTGCCCAAGGGTGGTGACAGCTGGTTAGAAATGACCCATTTCCCCTGTGATGACCTACTGATGCTCTAACTGTCCCTGTGCTATCCAAAAGCAGAGGTTTGAACTGGGATCCACAATGCTTCTGTCACTAAATCATTATTTGCTGCTTTCTGCCTGCTTCTCCTCTTCTCTCTTGTAGTTAGGGGAAGAGGCAGCAGAGGAAGTGGGGCTGTGCTCCATTCATCTGCTTTCAATTTGTATCTAAATAAACAGATCTAAAATCTTTGCCTGTTCTAATGTTCTTGCACATGAATTGAAGGTGGCGGTGGGTGGTATCTAGTAACCCGTCAGTGCGGTTGGGAATGCTGTTGAAACTATTGCAGTTTTTACCCTTCTAGGGCAATGAAGGCAGATAGAAGCAAAAGTTGAGCTATGTGCAATGGTGACTTTATCTTCCTTTTGGTGTATCTGATAGAATAGAGGCTGGCTGCTTGGGACTGCCAAGTTGTTCCTGCCCCAGAGGGTGAGCACCTGCAGACATGCTGGCAGAAAAGGAAAAAGCACTTCCATAGCAATTCTGCTACTTGAATTTTAAGTTCTATGAATGTGGGGCAACAAAACAATATTTGAAGGCTGTCCCTGCTGAGCAGTGCAGCATCTCTCTGCTTTTAAAACAGTGTAAGCCCTTCCAAGACTGGACATGCTTTTTTGGTGTCTGCCACGTGTGTTTTTGAGGTAGAGAGGAAGGAGCCAAGCAGAGACTCAAAAGTAGGTGGAAAGTGCAACTTGTTTCCTTTAAGATTGTGTGTCCACTCCTTAGCTATTTAACTGATAGCTTTTCATAGCTTCAGCTTCCAGGCAGCCTTTTAAACCCCAGCTCTGCAGTAGTCAATGTTACAGAAGTAAGTGTAGCGAATTCAACAACCATTTTTCCTGTTTTGCCGTGCAATGGCAGGACACAGCACTTGAATCAGAAGGCTGCACCCTCTGTTGCCATTGGCAGGTCCTTTTTGTTGAGGGCTAGTCACTCAGGACGCATCTCCCTCTTGATTTGTACACAAGAAGAGTTACTACTTATTTCATGTTCATGCTTTTATGGTTAAGGACAGCTCAGCCAGACAGTATTTTACCTGTGTGTTAACACAACCCCAATAACAGAGCTAAGCTCAGCTTTCTTAGATCTTTAACAGGTGTTTCTGGCTTTTTAGCCAGGAGCCTAAAGCTAGTATGAATTAAGTGACTTCTCTGTGTGTTGTCTTCTTCCAGTGTTGCTGGAAGGGCCTGATTCAGCATTACAGGTGCTTACCTCCTTCATGACAAATGTTTCTGCTACCAAGTGCTGTGCAGCTGTAGAGTGAAGGCAGCAGCTTTTTCCATTTCAGCTGATGCTTGCATTAGCAATTTTGTTTTAAACATTTACCTTCCTCTCCCTGCTAGTGAATCAGTTCAATCTGTGTCACAAATAGATTTGTGGATCCTGCCAACTATGCCAATTTGTCGCGAATACGATTTTCTACATGGCTTTGGTTAGCAGCAATTTACGATTTATTAATATTTTTGAGATAGATCACAGTATTAGGTTGTATAATTCTTAACAACACTTAAGCATCAGCCACTTTGAAACAGCAATTTGATGGAATTTGTTATAATCAAGACAGCAACTTAGTTAAAGATTCAAGAATGGCAAGATTCGCTCTATTACTTGCATGGAAGAAGTACACAAAGGAGAATTCAGCTACACAGAGGGATCGTGGGTGTAGGGGATAAGGGGGACCCTCCTGTTGAGTCATGAGATTCAGAATAGACCTCCTTGCTCTCTTAAACTCCTTTTAGAAAGGAGTCTAGGTGTAGCTAGGTCCAATCTTAGTCTCGGATTTGGTCAACAGTTTATGTGAGTAGGCATAGTATATAGGGATATATATGTAGCCAAATTACACATACACACATACCGAGGTTAACCTGTGATCAAAATTTCCCGTTTCGTGAATTACTCACTTTTATGTGCCGGCATTCATCAATGGATGGTCGGTGAACCTCACAAAGTCAGTTCTTTGAGTCCCCGCAAAATCTATGGACAATCCCTTAATCCTCGTGAAATCTATGGGCAATCCTTCAGTCCTCGTGAAATCTATGGACAATTCTTCAATCCTCACGAAATCTACGGACGATTCTTCAATCCTCGCAAAATCTACCCTGAGAGGTGTCCCAGCTCAGAGGGAGATATTGGGTCACACAGCCCACTGCGGTCCCAGAGAGCTCAAAGAGGTCTTCCTCTTGGATCGCTATTTATAGGATCTCGAGATGATTGGCTTTGGTCAGTAATTTACATTCTGGCCACAATTTGTGCGGAGTGGTTCTGATGATTCAGGCAGCAGATAGCCCAGGCGTGGACAGAGATTGCCTGATGCCCAAGTCGTTATGATCGAGATAACAACACAATAGGGCTTTTCCTGGGATCTCAGAATGGGGGGGGGCTGTAACACCACAATCCACCTCTCTCTCTCTGAGCAGCATTTAGTGTCTGTATTTGCCAGCTTGGAGATCAGTCCAGCCCACACTGTGCAAAGGTGAGTTAACTGTCCAGCTGGTAGAGACATCAACTCTCCTGGTCATCCCCATATCTCAGTGCACCTTGCAAATAATTCAATTTAACATTCCAGTTTATTGTAGTTTGCTGATCATTACTGATGACTTAGATGAATTCATAGCTGATCTCATTTGGCAGCCTGTGCTGAGCTGTTTAATTTGTACTGGGGTCTGTGTAGGGGTCACAGGTGACTATTTCTCTGATCTTGGCCACAGGAGTAAGTTGACCAGTCTAGTAATAATAGTAACTCACCCTTCACACTGGCCTTGCTATGAGTTAATACATCTATTTCAGACTCTTACCTGCTCATAGCAGTTCAGTTTCTGCATTGTTCTTGCTGAACAACTGGGAAGCAGACTTGAATTCATCTCTCCCTTCATTCCACAGCTCTAGCAAACTGCTTGCTCTCCCTGGATTTAGTGCCTGAACCGCAGCACCTTCACCTCCTATATATCCTTCTAGAAGATAAATGATCATACTGGGAAAAAAATGCCCTGTGCAAAATTTTTAAAAGAATAATTTATTAGCAAGTCGTCTACAAACTGGTTTCAGCACAGGGGATGCATTTACTAGAGACAGAAGAATCAGAAACATGGCAGTTCCCTGAAACTGCGAAGGGTGTTGCCTGCCTGTTGCTGCTGTCCATATCCAGGGGCAGCCCTGGGCTCCATACCCACATCTGCACTACAGGACTGGGGCTAGAACAAGAGCTCCTACTTGAGGTAGGGAGGTTTTTATAAGGAATTTGTTACATGCTTATTGCATGTTCATTTATAAAATATAGCAGGACTATGCAGGATGGAGGGGAGGAGCAGATAAAATCACAAGGACATCAGCACCATGCTGGACCCAGAAGAACACACAGGATCCAAGCTGTAGTTACTGGAAGGTGATGCAGAGGAGTTACCCAAGCAAGGAAGATCCAAAAGGTGAGTTTTTCCTTAGGTCTAAAAGAGTAACCTGTATAAAGTTTTATTTCCAGAGTTGTCCCAAAGGTTTATTCTGAACCTCCTGCATGGTTTCCTCTGCAACGGACTTGATTTCTCTGTGCAAGTCTTCTATGCTCTTTGAAGCATCCATTGTCTGTTTCAAAGACGAAAAAAAAAACAGAAACATGATCCTCAATTACCAACACTAAATGAGAAAAACTCACCTTGTTGTAATATCTGCTTCCCTCATTACTCAATATTGTTACTATTCATGAGCAGTGAAAGGAGCGAATTATACCTTCTGTGCACTATTTCTGGAGTGGAATTGGAAAAATCTATTTTATTTAGGAATAGACATTTAAGAAGATGTGGGGCTGGATGAAGGGAAACAGGAAGAAACTGCTGCTGATGAAGGGAAACAGGAAGAAACTGCTGCTGCTGCATGTTGTTTGCCAAGTCTTTAGGGCATATGACCTAAAGGCAGGTAAATGTTCTTCATCCTGTACTGTAGTCCCCCACAACCATCAGTGTATTGATCCTTCAGTGGTTCTTCAAAATAAACTCCACCCATGATAGCAGGAACTTCTAAAAATCCATCATGTGATGTTCCAGTTTCAGCTTCATTGGGGTTCTTTTTAAATACTGCAAGCTGAGGTCAGTAAAGGTGGTAGAGCTATACAATGCTGGTGTTCCTCAGCCTGACATTTAAAGAATAGCAGCATCACTCCTGTGCAGTTGAGGGGGTGACCAAGGTGAAGAAAGGATTTGGTGAAAAGATCTAGAGAGGTGCAGATTTATCAGTGACCTATGCAACACTGGTCCATGCAGCATTGCTGAGAAAGAGCAGGCTGTGAGGATATGCAATAGACTTCTCATTACAGCACAGCCAGCACCCCACCTTTGTGCTCACACAATATCCTCAAGCAGCTTGCTGATCTCAATTTATTCATGTAACTGATGGTACCAAGCTGTGTTTCATGCCTTGGACTAAACAGTTCTTTGGCAATGTTTGATGTCTGTTATTCTATCTGATACTGAGTGGCAAGGAGACAGGAATGCTGACTATACCTTTAATGTGTACTGAAACTGGATTTCCATGCTCATTTCAGTGACACCTGTCATCTCTTCATCATCTATTCTAATATATAGCTGTTTGATAGTTGTGCCCTTTGGAGTATTTTAAATAGACATGTTGCTGATACTTTAAGTGAAAACTCCTTTCATGTTAAAGAATCATGTTTACCTGAAACAGGCTGTGAAGAATTATTTTTACCTTACATAGTCTGCTCATTTGGCAAGTCTGTGTACATCTCCAGCTTCTGGCTACTAGTGACTTATCCATAACATGTGTCCTCCTATGTCTGGGTGAAAGCTACAGAAGTAATAGAAGATACAACGCGTATCTCATGATCAAGCTCTGGCAGTGTGATACAGACGGTAAAAAGGATGCTCCCATCAGAAAACCTCAGCCTAGATGATCTACACACAGGATAAATAGGTAATGCTTCCTCTTCTGGGATAAGGCTGCTGACTGTGCAGCCCTCTGCAAACAGCTCCAAGGGTTGAACAAGAAGGAAAAGCGATGCAGCAGCATGGAACAAAAAAGATCATGTATTTGGAGAGACTTCTGGTAGCAGTAAGACAGCAAATACTGATATAAACTGGCCATGTAAGAAGGAAGGTGATGATCAGTAAGGGAGACACAAGCTGCCAGAGGGCCCCAAAAACCTTCAGGGATTCCAGACTCGTTGGTATGCTGCAAGACTCCAAGAAAACAGAGTACATGGGTGTGTCCCACTGCTTCTTACCCAAGTTTGTCAGTTTGTCTTTAAGAAAGCAAATGATTACCAGAAACCTCTTTTGAAAAACCAACCAACCCGAAAGTCTTTCCCCCACCCCAGTGGGGCCGCATAGGGTGTCCTGGAACAGGGAGGTATCCTCTCTGCCACAAGCCACACTGCCCTTAGCTGGTCTCCAACATCTCCCCCTGACCAGGAGCAGGAAGGGGGAGCACAGGGTTGCGATGGGCACAATCCAGGAGCTCTCATGAGACACCCCCACCCACTGTGACAAGCCTGTTAGGGTTATTTCCTCACCTTCCAGTTTAATGTCTTGTCCTTCATCAGATGATAGAAGGACTGCAGAACTTTCTCTTGGAAGGAGCTGTTCTCATAACGTTCATTTCCAAAGTTCCCTCGTTCTGCTGCTTCCTCCGGGCTTAACTGAAGAAACAGAATCAGATCTGGCTTTGGGAGTCCAATGTCAGGCTGCTTGCACCAGTCCAGGCAGAAGTTCTGTCCCAAACAAAGACAACCAAGTCGGAGGTGAAAGAAAGGAATGCAAAGAAGGGAAAGAAGCCAGTTAGCTAGAGAGGGAGGTGGGGAAGAAACAGCCAGAGAAGAGATGCAGCCCCGAAACACTAAGTACAGGCCTACAAACTGAAAAGGAGATATCCCAGCTTATCATGTGGGAATTTGGTCCTGGTAATTGTGGGTGGCCAGATTTTGCTAGGTGCTGTGCACCTCTCATGCTCACTGAGGTCAGAGAGAGCTAAAGATTTTAACATCTCTTCTGCAGAGGCCATCAGAGCTAAATACCAACTCATATTCTCAGTCTCCATACAGCTGTTACCAGTCCAAAAGAAATCTGCTCCCAAATACAAACACCATGCAGCTTTCGTGTGGATCTTTCCATAGATATTCCTTTTCAAATACCTACCCTATGCTTTCTCAGCCTACCCAGGCATTTCAGCCCAGACACAAGAGACAAAGCTTTCCAACTTTCAGATCTTGTTGATAGATTTGAAGACTTCCATCAGGGCACGTGAATCCACAATGTTGCGGAGAGACCACTGAGGCTTGTCCACTTACTCCTCATCCACATAGGCACCTATCAGGGTGATCTTAAATGTATCAAGAGCAACTGCAGGGCTCTGGAGGTGAGGGTGCAGGGCACCCCAGGATCTCCTCAATCCTTCCAGGAAGGAGGGAAAGGCTTGGGCAGGAATGAATGTAGGTCAACTCTCAGCTGCACAGCTCATGTTGCAGGCAGGGCTTCAGCGTCTACAATCACAGGATGTTCTTTGAGGATTGATGGCTACTGAGCAGGCATGGGATACATGTGCTGAAGTGTGACAACAGTATCTGTATGCAAACAGGCTTGCTAAGCCAGTGCAGCTACCTAAGCTACCTATGTCAGGAGGTTTGCAATCTGTAGAAAACTGAAGATGGGAGGCAGAGAGGAAATGTCTCAGGGATGATACAATAATGGAGGTTCACCTGAAAGCAGCACAACCAAGGCAGAGTAACACAGGTGATGTTGGGGTGGGGCCTGCTACAGACTGCCTGGTTGAAGAGAGGATGTTGAGGAACCTTCTTTGGACAGCTGGAAGAAGGATCACAATTGCAGGTCCTGGTATTCATGGAGGATCTCAAACACCTGCCTATCTGCTGGGCACAAGCAATCCAGGTTTCTGGAGCATGCTGAAGAAATTCTTGACACAGTGATCGATAAGCCAGCAAGGGGAGGTGCCCTGCTGGATTTGTTACTCACAAGAAAGAACTGGTCGAAGATGTGAAAGGCAAGGGCAGCCTTGGCTGCAGCAAACATGCGATGGTGGTTTAGTCTGGAGAGGAGTCAATAAGACAAACAGAATCGCCAGTGTGAACTTCAGGAGAGAGATTTCTGTTTATTAGGGACCTCTTAGCAGGATGCCCTAGGAAACTCACATGGAAGGCAAAGAGGCCCAGGAGAGCTGGTTGATCTTCCAGGACAGCCTCCTCAGAGCACAAGAATGAGCACAAGACTCAGGAGGATCTTAGAGCTGTCTAGAATGACCCAAAGGGAAGCTGACAGAGCTGAGTTGTCTTGAAAGCAGGGACAGGCCAAAAGGCACAAGTGGAAACATGAGAAGTTCACGCTAAATTAATAAAATAATTTTTACCATGAGCATGAGAAAACACTGAAAAAAGAGCCCGGAAAGGTTGTGGATCTACATGTCTGGAGATACTCAAACCTTTGCTGGATGTGGCCCCAAGCAGCCTGCCTGACATCAGGCTTACTCTTGAGCAGGAGGTTGGGCTTTCTGACTTCCACAGGTCCCTTCCAATGTACATGGTTCTGTTATTCTTTGCAGATTTATGCGCCAGTGGCCAGAGCAAGTGTGGAGAATCTCAAATAAACTCACATAATCATTCTCCACAGTCAAACAGGCCAGCTTCCCTACAGCCAGGAGTCTCTCCAGATTTACAAAAAGTAACCAAATGAGTTTCTCTGCTCTTTCTGGGGAAGGGGTAGACCCAGGCAAACAGACCATGTCAATACCTGATCTGAAACTTCCATCCTTTGATTTCAATCCACATTTCCCCAGTCCTCAGGAGCCTCAGCCACGCACACAGACATATCAGGCCTCTAACTGGAGCTGCTTTCCCACATACAGAGGGGGGCAGGGGCTGCTGTGTCACTCACCTCTTTGGCACTTGTGAAGGCCACTCCAGAAAAGGCATATCTGTCAACCACAAGCGTGATCCCTTGATGTAGTTTCTCTTTCATCAATGGTCTGAAAACCATGTGGGAGAAAAAAAAATAATTACAGTTCTTTATAGTGATACAAATGAAACGAGTTCATCTAAAAGACAGCTCATAAGGACAGTGCTTCTCTGTTAACATATGTCATCATTAACAGTGATCAATTAGCAGTGTCAGGGTTATCTGTGATGCTGATTGTGGATAAATATTTATTTGTATTCTGTCCTCTAAGAGACATTAAGCAAATACCCTTTCAAGACACCCAAGTTCAGGGTGCTCCAGTGCAGGGCAGCTCTAGGCAGCTCCATGGCTTACAGGCAAGATCACAGCTGAACTATATTCAACATGACCAGCTTAGTCCTCTTCCCTTTTTAAGTGGTGCAGTAGATTTGTGATACACTCTGTCATGGTTTAGCCCCAGCCAGCAACTAAAGCACCATGCAGCCGCTCGCTCACTCCCCCTACCCTGATGGGATGGGGGAGAGATTCGGAAGAGTAAGAGTGAGAAACACTCCCTGGTTGAGATAACAACAGTTTAATAATTGAAATAAAGTAAAATAGTAATGATAATAATAACAATAGAATAATAATAATATACAAAGCAAGTGATGCACAATGCAATTGCTCACCACCCGCTGACTGATACCCAGACAGTTCCCAAGCAGCAATCGCTGCTCTCCGGTCAACCCCCCCCCAGTTTCTTTACTGCCCATGATGCCATATGGCATGGAACAGCCCTTTGGTCAGTTTGGATCAACTATTCTGGCTGTGCCCCCTTCCAGTTTCTTGTGCACCTGGCAGAGCATGGGAAGCTGAAAAGTCCTGGACCAGCATAAGCAGTACTTAGCAACAACTAAAACATCAGTGTGTTATCAACATTCTTCTCCTACTAAATCCAAAACACAGCACTATGCCTGCTACTAGGAAGAAAATTAACTCTATTCCAGCTGAAACCAAGACACACTCTGCCTCAGTCAAAGTGTCCTTTATTCACGACAATGACATTTTTTATTATAGCTCACTCATCTGCCTTATGCTGTCCCAGTTTACTTGGCACCACCACTAGAGCAGAATCAGCAAAGATTTTTTTAAAATGACAACATTTTGTAGTATAGATTTCCAGGTAAAAACAACAGCCAACACCGATTTCCCTAGTTCCACACACAAAGACTCAAGGGCCAAAAGCAAGGACAGCCACTTGCAGCTGAATGCAGCCTTCGGCTAGAAGGGAAGTTTGGATACAGTTCCTTAACGACTCTGTCACTCACACAGACTTCCTTGCAAAGCAAGGCCTCTTCATTCAGGAAAGAAAGCAAATTCACAGTCTAGGCTGGTACAGTCTCAGGTCCCCAATTCTTGAATCCAGTATGGCATAGGGATTAGAAATATCACATCTAATGATTTCAAAACACCAAACTATGGGATTTGATCTAAGATTAAATCCAAAGCTGTACGAGTTCTTAAGACATTGCTTCCAGCCATGTTTCCCTTGCTAAACAGGATCATACTCTCATACCTACTGTACCCACTGCAAGCTAAAGCCCTGGGAGGATTCAACACCATGCATTTTTCTTTTACAACTTAACAAACATTATCTTTACACATGTTCCCAGCGGTTAGCAGAGAAGAGCAGGTGAACAGCATGGTCCTCCAGGTTCTTCTCCTTCAGCAGGTAGGAGCTGATCAGCCGCCCAATCTCCGTTGTTCTATCTGTAGGAAAGAGGGCGAGAAGGAGCAAATGCTGCCCTGAGCTGCTTTCACCAAAGGGCTGTCCATCTGTCCCGGGGAACGTCAGCCTGTCCAGGGTCTGTCTGTCACGGGTGGGAAGGAGTTCGGTCTGTCCAGGGTGGGGGTCTACCTGTCTGTCACGGGTGGGATGAGGTCAGTCCGTCCGGAGGCGGGGGTATGTCTGTTTGTCACAGGTAGAAGGAAG